TTAAAAAGATACAAAAGCATATATACGATTAAATTTTGTAAACGAAAAACCCAAAAATATATTAAAAGACAGGAACAACAGTTAATACTTTTGTGTATCTGTGTGCAGTGAAATTGTGTATAATTTGTATTAGTTCTTTAAACTTTTGTTTCTCGGATGCTCATGTTCTTCAAATATTAATTTTAAAATCAGGAAAAAATTATTAGCAGAAAGTAGGAAAAGACTGAAAACAGAAAAATGCTGGTTGACGTCTGTGGTCTTTCTCATCAGCTGCCTAGTTCACCAGCCACGCATCAGGCAGGTCTGTGATGAATACTCAGGCTGCTGTCTTGATGCATGAAGGGCCAGGGCACCTGACCAGGGTGGGGGTACTTCTATAATAAAGTGGGCTGCTGAGAGTCCTTCCTCCACACTGGCCCAGCTCTCACAAAGGCCTCACCCTGCAGCTAAACTTAACAGATGCCCTCCTACAGATGCCGACCTTCCTCCTCTCTCCAGACACCCGTGAATGGGAGCTGCCTTCCTTGCCTTCTCTCCTGCCTTCCTTCTCTTCTGGGCTGGGCTTGGTGCCTTTCTCTGAGGGTTTGCTGTGTTTGTGTGTAGTGTAAAATGCGTGCCCACCTTAACAAATTCTAATAGAACATAAATGCAGGAAGTAAAAGCTGAAAGTTCACCTACACAGCAACCCAATCCCACTCCTCAGGACCTTTGCTGGGTAGTTATCTTTGTAGACCTAGGTCTTTACATAGCAATACAGTTTTACTTTTAAATGAGTTTATACTGGAGTTGGTTTCCTGTATCTTGTTTTCCTCACAGTGTCACAGATACGTTTCTACTGGATCATGGGACTGATCCTGCTAATCTGTATTCTATTTACATAGATAAAACCTGATACAAGTGTGTATAACTAGATTCAGGAATGTGTCTGATCAGAAGTACAACAGGTCTGTCTCCATCTAATAAGTCCGAAACATAACACCTAACTCAGATATCTGAAAATGTCAACTTCTGATCCATAGAAATATACCCTTATGCAACAACTCTTCTCCACCATCTTGTCAAAGGAGGGTACTCCCTGGCCATTTAAATAAGCCTAAGTACTGTAGCTATCAGTCTGAGCAGTCTGTTTTCTGTTCCAGTTGGAGTAAGTGGTCTGGCAGTCTGAGGCATTCTCTGCCCACAGCAGAGTGTGCCACAGGGAAACAAGTGGCCACTTCTCCAGCACGACAGAGAGAAGATCAAAAGCTCTCTGCAGGGCTATGCTCAGCTTCGGCCCTGCAAACCCAGCACTCCTGAAGCTTCACCAACTAGCACCTTTGGTTTGTGCACATATAGTCACTTTCCCTCACGTGTCCCAGAGGTGGGATCAGGTGGGGCTCTCCCCAGTCACACACTGCTCAGAAGAACCGCACCCCAGGATAATTTAGGCCTCATGATCCTCATCTACACAGGCAGAGCGTGTCTGAACATGACTGGGAGTGTTTTCATACTGTTTTTAAGGGGCAAAAGAAAGGAAGTGGTTGATAACATAAAAAATGAGGGAAGAAAGGGGAGACTGGAAAGGTAGATAGCTGGACAAAGGAACAGTATCCAGAACGGAGTAAGGACCTGTTTCTGAGATGCTGCAAGAGCAGAAGGTGGGAGTGGGTGAGGGTAGGAGCCTGGGCTGGGGAACATGGGCAGGTCTAAACAGCCAGTGTCACAGAGCCAGAGCCTCAAGCACCTGGAGCAGGTCAAGTGGTTTCATCTGGCACCATCCAGGGACAGTACCAGGGTGCAGTGGAACGCAGAGTAACACGAGGCTGAATTCTACTCTTGGCTCTACCGCAGCTCTCCCTTCCTCCTAGAATGCCCACCAGGATGCCTGTGCAGGGAACACTGGCCCTCTGGGCTTGAGGCGAGCCACTTTCCAGGCTGCCACTGTGGAGACAGGCCACTGACCCTGAAAAGATAGATCAGCCCACAGTTAGAAAGTCCTGGCTACAGCCCCAGCACAGGTGCCAAAAAGCAAGAAGGGCAACACTTAAAACAGAAGTTGGCCGGGTATGGTGGCTCATGCCTATAATCCTAGCACTTTGGGAGGCCGAGGCAGGAGGATAGCTTGAGCTCAGGAGTTGGAGACCAGCCTGAGCAAGCGCAAGACCCTGTCTCTACCAAAAATAGAAAAAATTAGCAGGGTGTGGTGGCTCGCGCCTGTAGTCCCAGCTACTAGGGAGGCTGAGGCAGGAGGATGCCTTGAGCCCAGGAATTTGAGGTTGCTGTGAGCTATGATAAGCCACTGCACTCTAGCCCGGGTGATAGAGGGAGACCCTGTCTTCCCCACACCCCCCCAAAAAAAAAACAAACCCAGAAGTTAACTTGTGAGTTAAAATAAACACATATTTGGACATTAAAATTTATTTTAATTTATAAAAATAAAAGGAAATGCTCTACTTAAATAATAATTCATCTGGGTCTTCTTGTATAATACAATATTCTTCCATGGGAGTCTGATGATTTTGAGGCCAACAGCTCTTCTCACATGTGTAAACAAGAATTGTTCCAAATTCCACAGAAAGACCTGAAAAATATAACATATTCAGGATTCCAGAAGAGAGCAAGTTATGAGATACACTTAAAATGTACCTACTTAGTGGACAGAGCAGACTCTGGGGCAAGACTGCCAGGGCTTAAATGCCAGCTCTACCACCTTGGGCAAGTTACTTCACCTCTCTGTGATAAAAGTAGTATTTATCATGATAGTAAGATTGTGAGAGAGATTAAATAAGCTAATACATATAAAATACTTACAATGGAGCCTGGCACATTTTAAGTGTTCAATGTAAAACAAAGAGGTTGTATAATTAGAAGATACTAGAAGTGAAGGAGGAAGGCTCAATGATAACTGGTGTTGCTAAAGGGAGTGATTTTACCTTAGAAGCTGAAAAAAATTAGGTAAAGCAAAAACAGTGCTTACTGCTTTCAGCTGCGATACATCACAGTCTATCTTATACTAAGTGAACACTGTTGAAGAAAAGGTTTATTCAAAAGAAGCAGGAAAATATACTTAAAAAATTAAACAGAAATTTCAACAAATCCTCCATTACAACTGTCTAGACAATCTAATGTTGAAAATCCATATCAAAATATATCACATAACAGAACACACTACTGCCATAAAAGGATTCAGGCAAAAAATATAAAATAAATCCTAAGAGTTTATAGATATTTATCAATGAATAGAGTCATGAAAAATGACACCAAGAAAACATGAGCAACAAGAACTCCTGCTGATGTCAGGACAGAGAAGCAGAAGTCAACAGGATGACTTGAGCAATGATTTGGAACAGCAAAGGAGAAATGATTTCTTTAAAATGTATGGCAAGATAATGGAAAGAAAACCAAAGACAGAACAAAGAAGGCCAAAATAGAGTTGGTTTGAGAAATAATCTGGTGAATTTGAGATAATATTTCCAAACAGAAATGGGTAACAGGCAGTTTACAGAGGGCAAGAGAAGACTGGAACCTCCAAACTAGTAACCACCAGGACAGAAAAGGAGGTGGCAGCGATCTCAGAGAATCAACTACTAAATAGCTGAGTACTGTACATGAGGTCTGAGCCCAGAGACCTGCCACAGTTGGGGGGTAAGGAGGGAGGGTAGAGAAGAAAGAGGAGGCCAAAACAGCCTACCATCTCATGAAAAAAATCAGAGACCACAGGACCAGAAAAGATAGGTGGAAACGTAATCACAGGCAGAAAGGCAAGGCTTGAAAGAATCTCCGTGAATGCAGGGGGAAAGGGCAGAGATGTTAACATGGATTTGAAAGGACAAAGATGTTCAAAGTAACTGCTGTTGCTTTGGTAGAAAAGCTACAAATGCAATAAAAAAGACATTCAGAAATAAAAAGGAAGAAAAAAATAAATCTGCAGGTCCAAAGACATACCTTTGGATGTGCCAAATAAAGGTGATACAGAACAAGTGGACAGCAAATCATACTCTAGTTCAGTGACCGGACTTCATGCATATAGAAAATTCTACAGGTATCCTGGCAGAAATGTTAGTTACAAAGGGAGGAACAATCAGGCCACCCTAAGACTTCTATAAAGCAATATTCAAGGCCAAAAGATATCTATATTAAAGTAAAAGATCTCAGAGAATAGAATACCCACAACCCCTTCCAGAAAAATGCACTTCCCAGTGAGACCTAGCCCCCTAGAGATGACAGGAGGCACCAGGTAAAAGGGCTGGCAGGGCTTTCACTGTCACAAGGCAACAACAGGAGTCTACAAAGTTCTGAAAAGAGAAGGTGGGACTTAAAAATTTTATACATGGGTTGCCCTTCAAGCATAAAGGCACTAAATATAAAGGCATGCATATTCTGAAGCAAGAACACCTATGAGCCCTCCTTAAGGCTATTCTTGATAAAATCCAGCCGTTAGCAAAAGAATCAAAATAAAAGATCAGGAATAACAAAATTCATTATAAGAGTGGTGATGAACACTGAATCCATTTAAAC